CCTTATGATCAATCACAATGGAATCGTCCGGTAAGTTGTTAAAAGTATTCACAATCTCATTCTTCACAACAAATTTGCTCGACCAATAGACATTAATGAAATATGGACCGTTAAACGCCATTTATATCTGTTGATTACATAAATTAAACCATATTTTGAACAAATTATTACCAAAAATACCCAAACAAGGCATAATCAAACAAATTATTATAACAAATACCATAAACAAGGCATAATCAACACCTAAATGTACTAAACCCTTACAAATTTAAAAATTGAGGGCAAATTCAAACATTTTACTAAATGAAACGTTCAATACCACGTATACAATAACAATAATCACCAACTAAACCCAACATCAACCCTAAAATCTTGTAAACATTCCTTGTTCTACACTTCTACAAAAAAAATAACAACAATAATCTAAAAACAACAAAACAATAACTAACCTTCTTGTGAAATGGATTTAAGACATCCGTTGCAAAGAATCGTGAACAAAATTTTCAAAACGTCACCAAAATCGCCTCTTCCTTCAAGAGAAATGAAGAATCCCGATTTGTGAATAGTGTTTTTCATTTCCCCATTATATCACATAAAGGTTTGATTTGTGAAATCCAAGTTTATAAGAAAATCCGACCTACAACTAAACTCGGATTTATTAACTCCGACCTGTTGCCCGCTAATTCCCTCAATTGAATGTAAATATCTACCGGTTGGTATGTTTAAATAAGGTCGGATTTCAGGAATCCGACCATGTACAGTACATAATGTTCATAATATACTGTTCATTATTTGACCGTTATTTTAATTTTTTTCACATGTATTTTTCAGAAAAAAATTATTATTTTATTAGATCGGATTTACGAAATTCGATTTACTAATTTAATTAGTAGTTCGGATTTTGTAAATCCAATCTCCGTATTTTTTTTTTTAAAAAAAGAGACCAATAGATCTCTCTACTCTTTTTTTTAGACAAGTTTTTATCCAAAGCACCCATTCATCAACAACCAAAATCATATCACCATAACACCCCGTCCTGCCATCATATTTATTTCATCTACTGAAAGCTTCAGACACTTTCTTTCCAACCTGACCCCTGACAATATGTGATTAATTCTTCTCACGAAAGAAGAGAATTTGATTGATATGGTGAAATGGGAAAGTTTCAATAATGGTATATATATATATATATATATATATATATATATATATATATATATTATAAAGGGCCTCAGGCTTCAATGTCAGTGGAATGAAAATAACTTTAATAATTTTTTTTTTACAAAAAAGAAATTACCATTGGATAACTTGAGAGAAGCAAGTTGAATTTATCAGTACAAAACCAAAGGCAATAGATTTGTTGGGGGAAAGGGTTAAGTTTGTGATTCCCAGCAGCCCGGTTTCTAAACCTCTGTCTAGTAAATTGGCATTGTCCATATCACATAAATTCCCCAACTATCATCAGCCCACAGCAGAACTGCAAATTTAAACCCTAAGGATTAAATGAAGTTCCATTCAAAGTTCATATACATATATCTAGAGAATAAACAGTCTTCATTGAGACTTGGAACTAGCTACAGAGAAAGAAGTTAAGAAGCTGTAAATTTAAGAGGAGTATAATTACTAATAACTACCAGAAATGCTTCCATCTTGAGCTCGAATTCAATCTTTAACATACTTTGGGCTTGTTTGCCCAACACTTATTTTGTATTTTTGTCTCATTTTACCTCTTAAAACACCTCTTAAACACAAATCTCAATACTATCCAAACAATTTTTTAATTTACTTTTTAAAAAATATTCCAAAAATTATTTTTACACAATTTTCATCCACCACCATCAGACCACCTCCACATCACCCGCCGCCACCGGACCACCCGCTGCCGCCGCCGGACCGCCGGTGACCGGCGACCGGCTGGCCAGATTCCAGCGAGTTGGCCAGAATTTGGCCGGTCGCCGATTGGCGGCGGTCCGGCGGCGGCGACGGTGGTGGAGGTGGTCCAGTGGTGGTCTAAAAATATTATTATTTTATTTAAAATATCACCCGAACAATTTTTTTAATTTTATCTCAAATCGCATTTTTAAATCACATCTTAAACCCAAATCAAAAAACAAAACAAAAACTAAAACAGGCCATATTTACAGTTCTTATGTTAGATTTATACTCTGTTATCGAATGACTAAAATGTCCAAATGGTTCCTTACATTTGGGCCTACTTGAATTTATTGTCTCTAACATTAACATTTCAATATTGTAGTCCCAAAAATTATGTTTTCACACTTTTTTTGGTCCTATTTCACTGTTTCCGGCCGCTGACATGCCGGAATCAGGGGTATTTTTGTTTTTTAATTTAATTTAATTTTTATTAAAATTGAAATCATTAAAAATATTTTAAAATTCAAATTTCATTATTTAATTGTTAAAATATTATTTATTAATTAAAAATATTATTATACAATTTTAAAATTTATCATTATTTTCAAACTTACTTTTTCCATTTACTATTTACTTTAAGTACACAGTAAATGGTAATTATGTTGTACTTTTAACTTTGGACCCACTATAACTTAAAAAATTTACCAAATTACAGTAAATAATTCAAAATTCAATTATTTTTTTTTAAAAAAGAAAAAAAGCAAAACTAAGATTTTTTTTACTCTGACCGCTACAATAAACCTAAATGGTAATTATGTTACACTTTTAACCTTGGTCCACTGTAACTTGAAAATTTACCGAGTTACAGTATATAATTCAAAATTCAATTTTTTAAAAAAAAAAAGAAAAAGAAAAACTAACATTTTTTTTATTTTGACCGCTACAGTAAACCCTAAATGGTAATTATAATACACTTTTAACCTTGGACTCACTGTAACTTAAAAAAATTTACCGATTTACAGTAAATAATTCAAAATTCAATTTTTTTTTAAAAAAAGCAAAACCAAGATTTTTTTTACTCACCACTATAGTAAACCCTAAATGGTAATTATGTTGTACTTTAACCTTGGACCCACTGTAAATTAAAAAATTTACCGAGTTATAGTGAATAATTCAAAATTCAATTTTTTTTAAAAAAAAAAGAAAACCAAGATTTTTTTTACTCTGACCACTACGTTGCTTTTTTAACCTTAGACCCACTATAACTTAAAAAAATTGAAACAGTAAATAATTCAAAATTTAATTTATTTTTAAAAAAAGAAAAAAAGCAAAACAAAGTAATTGACCGCTACAGTAAAATCTTATGTTGCACTTTTAACCTTGAACCCAATGTAATTTAAAAAATTTGCCGAGTTACAATATGTAATTCAAAATTCAACTATAGTGGTTAAAGTAAAAAAAAATCTTGGTTTTGTTTTTTTTTTTTTTTTTAAATTGAAATTTTGAATTATTTACTGTAACTCGGTATATTTTTTAATAGTGGGTCCAATGTTAAAAGTGCAACATAATTACTATTTAGGGTTTACAGTAGCGGTCAGAGTAAAAAAAAATAGTTTTGCTTTTTCTGTTTGTTTTTTAAGAAATTAAATTTTGAATTATTTACTGTCATTCGGTAAATTTTTTAAGTTACAGTTGGTCTAAGGTTAAAAGTGAAATATAATTATTATTTACTTTGACCTAAGGTAAATAATAAATGAAAAAATTAATTTTGAAAATAATGTAAATTTGAAAATTTTACAATAATATTTTTAACTAATAAATAATATTTTAACAATTAAATAATGAAATCTGAATTTTAAAATATTTTTAATGATTTAAATTTTAATAGAAATTCAAATTAAATTAAAAGACGAAAATACCTCTAATTTCAGCATGTCAACGACCGGAAACAGTGAAATGGGATCGAAAAAGTTTGAAAACATAATGTTTAGGACTACGATATTGAAATGTCAATGTTAGGGATATAAATTCAAGTAGGCCCAAATGTAAGGGATTATTTGAATATTTTAGTCATTATCGAATCATATGAAGTACCTAACTTGATTTTGACATGATAGGACACCAATGGATTACAAAATTCTCATGATGTGAAAACCTTTCTAGTAGATCATCTTTCTCATACATCTTCTTTGTGATCCAATGAATTGAACTATTGAACGAATTATTCAATCGCGTTACTATTGATGGAATAATTCAAGTTAGTTTCGGGGCGGGAAAATTTTTTGTTCCATCATGGTGGATTGAATGTTGGTTTTGTTGCCTTTGCAAGTTTTTTTACACCCCTTCTTGAAACTATTTACTCGTATATGCATGTTCTTCATAGTTAGGTATACTAGTTTAGGAGAAGTGGATGGAACTATAATTAAGCTCTCAGAGTTGGAGAAAATATTAATGGAAAAAAATTTGGTAAAACAATTGTACCCTTTTGTTTTGTTTTGACATATTTATTTCGACGATCAACATCCATGTTCTTGATGTTTTTTTACATTCGATGTAATTTTTTGTTTTAAAAAAAAGGAGAAATGCAAACATTAATAGAATGATTTCGGATGAAATTTTTAGATTAGGAAGTGTGGAAGTCGTTCTGAAGCGGAGACTATCAGCAATCACATTGAGATAAATGAGTCGAGGTCATATAAGACGAAACTAGTAATGCTCCATGGCGAGAAGTAGAATTTTGTTGGTGATGTATTTACAGTAGTAGGAAAATGCATAAATGTTGCAAAATTGGGGTGAATTTATATCAACAAAACAAAAACCATAACAGGATAGAAAAGTGTAATTAGGCTAGAAAATTTGTGACCCGATAGTCTAATTTTCAAAGACAATTCACATTACATAATACGATTAAACCAATTTACATATTACATTTGCATATTTTACATTTGATCCCTGCTCCCTATAGAATCATATTAAGTAAATGGAATACATAACAACATGTTACAGATTGACACTGTTGAATTACTATTTTCTCCTAATGTTGTAGACTTGTGTTACATCTTTCTCACTTCTTCTCACACGTCCGGTCTTTCGCCAACCATAACACCTCTATTTGTTCATAGACACTACACTTTACCTTTTTCCTCTGTAAACGAATCAACAACCAAATTTCTTTATAATCTTGTCACCATTTAAAACCTCCTTCTGCCACATTCACTTCAGCTGATAACTTGACTCGGTTTCTTTCATCAGTCCTGACACAAGTAGATAAATTCTTCTCTCAAAAGAAGAGAAGTCACTTCAAGAGTTTAGACTTAAAAGACCATTTACTCTTTTGTTCATCACATGAATGATACTGCTCCCTTGGTTGTTGTTCTCAGAAGAACCTCTATTTATTAGTCTCTTGCTGTTGTACGCTTTCTACATCCAGAACCAAAGACGGAAGGAGAGCTGAGATGGAGAGAGAACCCAATCTAGGTGAAAATCAAGGAGGAGGTGAAGCTCTTGAGAAAGAAGCTAATCAGCAACAACAGCAGCAGCAGGAAGTGATTGAGGTTGAAGACATTTCAGATATGGAAGATCAGATGTCCGTAACCTCGAGACCTAAACCCATTCGGCGTTTTCTCAGTACCAAGGTATGTTGTTTAACTTCTCGTTTCACTTTTTTTTTTTTTTTTTTTCTGTTTTTCCATCCGTCTTTGAGCAGGTCCAAGAACAGGACAAAAAGGGCTTTGCTTTTGAACTTTAATTGTTCGTATTATGTTTCGGATCTTCAACATTTTCCCAATCCCTGCTTAGTTTATGTGTTATTGGCATGATTTTTCGAGTGATGCTGAAACCGATTAATGTAAATATGGCTTGTTGGAATGATTTTGGCAAAAGGGATCGTTAAAAGATTGGCTCTTTTTTGCTTCTTGATTTGTCTTTCTTCACCTTCAGTATGTGAAATTCACTGTTTTCAACTTGACAAATCAAACTGTACACCTTTGTAAAAAGTAAACGATAACGAAACAACCAGTAAATGATGACGGTTTCTTCAAAACTCTCTGAATTCTTGAAACAATTAGTCGGTAGATAAACTCTGGTCTTGTCCCGTAATCCGATTGAGTCTTATGTCAGGTTGAGTTGGCTTTATTAAACGTCTTTTCAGAGAATAAATTGTATGTTCCATTGTGATCATTATAGTTTTGCTTGCTTTTGAACTTGAATAACATCTTTAATTGAAGAAGTGTACTTGATTAATGGCGGGCATTTTTTTGTTCTTGTTGCAGGGAATCCAAAAGGGCTCTCAGACAGCTATGAGGTATTATGAATTTCTCCTGAAATTACTTTTCTAGAGCATAAACAAAACTAGAACATTGATGTCAGGAGAAATCAATTTGAGAAATTTGCTTTTAGGTAACATATTCCTGCCTTGTTTGGATTCTTACATAATGCAGGAAACCGGGGCGATTCAGGGCAGTGAAACGCAATTCTCATGTTCCGTCTTCTGTTATGGATAGAGCAGAACAACTTCGAGCCAATCTTGATGCTAAGTACCCCAGCTTTGCAAAGTTAATGCGTCATTCGTATGTTGTACATGGGTTTTTGCTTGTAAGTTTACATTCCAGTAGTCTCAAAAAAATATTTCATCAAAATACCATACGTATCTGTTGTTTATCCTAACATATTGAACTGTAGGCCTTTCCGTGGGATTTCTGCAGAGAATATATGCCACAGCATGGTGATGTAGTTGTTTTGGAAAATGAGGCTGGCCAAGTATTTGATGCAAAGTTCCTTGGTTCTAAAATGGGACTTAGTGGTGGCTGGAGAGGATTTTGTGTGAGCAACAAACTGAGAGAGGGTGATGCAGCTGTTTTCCATATGATTGGTGCTACAAAATTCAAGGTAAATACATGGTTTGTAAAATGCGATTTGTATCGTGTTTGCAAGTTCTTTCTATCCTCTTTCAACTCAGCTTTTGTATACCTAATGTTCAGGTTTACATAGTCAGAGCAACTACTTCAGGAGTTGCTGAAACCCCTAAGCACTCACTTTCAAGGAAAAAGGGCAAAAAACGAGGTAGAAATCGTGTCCTCTACTTCATTTTTTTTTGTTCATTTATTTATCACCTTCCCTACTGTTGACATAGCATTTTATATGTGATGTTAATTTTGAACAGAAGGAGGAGAAGTTAGAGAGAACAAGTATGCAAGGCAATATGAAAAATCAAGGGGCCAGAAAGGAAAAGATAGTGAAAATGATGCAAGGAAGTGCGGAAGAGCAACTGCATTTGTTGGTTTTCAAGACTTCAACATTGTGATCAATGGCCGCAATGTGGACATAAACAAGCCTGATGTACTCTTCAAGTACTACCAGCTCTGCAAAGCTCAGAATTCATTTCTGCACTCCGGTTTCCTTGAGCCCATTAGTCCTGAATCAGCTGTCAGTATCATCTCAGATACAGTTCGAATTGCAGATGGCATCAGATCGAGTGGCATTTTCACTCCCAAGAACACTTTTGCTGTTTGGGACAAGGCATTGGAAGGGTTTGAGAAACTAGGGCTTGAAGTTGGATTCTTACGCGCTCGCGTGCACAAACTCGCCAATTTGGCAGAGCAAGCAGAAGACTCTCCACCTGCAAAGAAGCTGAAGGAAGCCAGGGTTGAGTACAATCTGATAGCGGAAGAGGTAGAGGCAACCACTTTCGAGTGGTATCTGAAAAGTGAAGAGCTGAATGCTCTGGACGCCAGACTCCAGAAAGCGAAACAGGAAGGAAAACAACTCTATTGTGAGATGGAGAGCTTGAATGGGAAGATCAAGGAGGTTGAGTCAAGGTTCCTGAAAGAAGCTAGATCTCCATGGTGAGCCTGGATATATAAACTTAGTAATAGGGTGGGAGTTTCTTAGGTGGACAAGTAGCTTGCATTACGTGTGGTTTGTTGGTATCTTAATCAACTGATCATGTTTTGGTAAAAGAATGAACTCAAGGATATTAAGTTAGGTGGAATTCTTAATAACCTCTTTTGTCTTTAACCTGATGGATTATGAGGTGAAACTGGGGGAAAAAAATTACCATTACGCGGGAAGAACTTGAGAGAAGCAAGATGAACTTACATTCCCTTAGAGCAGTATCCAAACTTCTGTCCTGTGTCCAGTATATTTGCTTTATTTATATCGCATAAATTCCCTAAGTAGAAGAGCAAATTTAAACCCTAAGGATTAAGTGAGTTCCATTCAAAGTATATGTAAGTATAGATATATTCATGGAGATCTGAACTAACCATAAGAAAGATGTTAAGAACCCGTCAATTTACGAGGAGTACTAGACTTACTAACAACTCCCAGAAATGCTTCCATCTTGAGCCATCTTAACATGAAAAATCACATTTGCATTTCTTATGTTAGATTTACGCTTAGTATGTGACCATATGATGTACAAGACTTGATTTTCGCACTAATTACTTACGAAATTCTCATAATGCAAAAGCCTTTCACTTACATGTTTCTTTCATAACGCCACCTTTTCGGCTGTAAATGAATAAAAAATCTAATCCCTTTTACTCATATCATCAGTTAAACCAACTCCTCCCTTCAGATTCATTTTAACTGTATAAGAAGAGGATTTGATTTGGATCCTTCAAGAGTCCTGACAAAAGGTGATCAGTTCTTTTATCAAAAAAGAGAATCTGATGGGGACCCCTCAAGAGTTTAGACCGTTAATTAATCCTTAAAGACGTATTTGTGTTACAGGTTATAGTGTGATTTCTATCTTGTGATCCTTTTGATTGTTGCATTAAACTTGGTTGGAATTTTCAATTCATGATTTATTGCAGTATGGTTGAATTCTCCCTGAAACTCATTCAAAGAGCACGTAGAAATGAAAACAGAATATAGATGTTTATGGAAATCAAAGTTGAGAAATTTGTGCTTTTGTTTTGATTCTGACCATATAAGCAGAAAACAGCGCGAGTTTCAGGATGGATGATTAAGAAAAAAATGTTGAAGTTCCATAATTCCATTATCCTCTGTAATAAACAAAGCAGAAGAAATTTGATTTAATCTTGATCCTCAATACTCCCAAGTCTTTCCCGCGGATTTCTGCAGAATGCATGTGGCACAGCATGATGATTGTATAAATTTTGTAAGATGAAAATGGTGAATAATACCAGATGAAGTTCACTGTTGTCAAAATGAGACCTAGTAAAAAGGTTAGGAAAGGTTTTGTCATCAAGCAAAAATCCGCGGATTTGAGAGTCGGAAATTCAACCCAAAGTTTTTTTTTTTTTTTTTCAAGTGGATTGATTTTGTCTATGGACATTTTTTTTCCTTAAAAGACTAGGCAATAGAACCAACACAAATTAAGTTGCTTCGAGTGAAAAATTGGTATTCATGTTGTCAATTTGTCATAGTTGCAGAAAGAATTATCATTGTTATAATAAAATTCCATCCATTGAAGAATACGGACGCCAATTATTAAATATTCCATCGACTAATTGACTGTCACGACATTACCGTCTTTCTCTCAAGTTAGTCTCTGGACGGGAAGTTTTTTGATCCATCATGGTGGGCAGAATGTGGTTTATTGCCTTTGCAAAGAAATTTGTAACCTTTTATTTCAATCAACATGCATGTTCTTGATACTTTCACTTACATCTAATGTAATAATTTTAGGTGGCAAAGAGGAGGAGAAGTTCGCGAAAGAAATGATCGAGGAGAACATGAAAATTCCATAGCATTTGCTGATTTTCAAGACTTCAAGATCATCTTCAATGGCATCCTTTTCGACTTTGAGATACCTGATGCCATTAGCTACTTGTCGGCTATTGATATTATTTCAGATACTGTTGAAATTGCAACCGCCATCAAGTCAAGTACTTGTATTATCTCCATCCCTAGTTCCCTACAAGTCTTGTCAAACTTTCGGATCTAACATTCGCAGCGTTTGAGTTGTTAGGGTCGAAAGTTGTATTATTGGGTGCTCGTGTTTTAAAACTCGTCGCTCTTGTAGCGCAAGCGAAAGACAGTTCACATTCAAAGAGCACAAGCAAACCACTGCTGAGTATAATCTTAAACAGAATGAAATGAAGCGGCACTCATTCAAGATGATTTTGATAAAGGTGAGTAGTACATAAAGGTGTTGGTGGTGAGTAGTATCACCCTTACGAGTTACTAGCAAAATAATCGGGTCACAAATTTGCACATGATTTTAGTCATCGAGAAACTTGTTTCTGTTTACCCAAAGGGAATACAAAAAAAATTAAAATGAGAAGAACCTTATTCAAAAGGGTCCAGCCATTTGCAACAATTTTCCCTCTGTTTCTTCTATGTTTGAATTGTCACGAGCGTGAATGTCCATAGGACAAAGAAGAAACTATAATGTTCACTATACAATGGGAATTATACTTAGGTTAATAAGGCTTTTAATTCCTGATAATCTAATTTACGGATACAATACACATTTTATATACTACTATTAATCCCATTTGCAATTGCATTACATTTGATCCATGTTCTGTATAGAATCCTATGAAGTACGTAGAATACATAACACGATTGTGATCAACATCCAACATTGACACCGTTAGAATTACGGTTTTGTTCATAGACACCACACCACCTTTTTGGCTTTTTCTGCTGGAAACGAATCAGCAACCAAATCTCTTATGATCATATCACCATTAAAACCCCCTACTGCCCTCACATTCACTTCAGCTGAAAACTTGACTCAGTTTCTTTCCTCAGTCCTGACACAAGTTAATTGATTAACTCTTCTCTGACACAAGTTTAGACTTAAAGACCATTTACTGTTTTGTTCATCACATGAATGATACTGCACACTTGGTAGTTGTTCTCAGAAGAACCTCTACTTATTACTCTCTTGCTGTATTACGCTTCTACATCCAGAATCATAGACGGAAGGAGAGTTGAGATGGAGAGAGAACCCTATCTAAGTGGAAAGCAAGGAGGAGCAGAAGCTCTTAGACAAGAAGCTAATCATCAGCAACAACAGCACCAAACTGAAGTGTTTGAGATTGAAAACCTTTCAGATATGGAAGACCAAATGTCCGTAACTTCAAGACCCAAATCGATTCGTCCCTTTCGCAGTACTAAGGTATAAAAATTTCTGTTGTCAACTTCTCATTTCAATTTTTCGTTTTTTGTTTTTTCATACACATTTGACTAAGTCCAAGAACAGGACAAAAAAGGCTCTGCTTTTGCACTTTAATTGTGGATATTATGCTTCGTATCTTCAACATTTTTCCCATCCCTCCTTAGTTTATGTGTTCTTGGCGTGAATTAATGTAAATATGGTTTGTTAAAATGATTTGGTTAAAGGGAAAGTTAAAAGATTGGCCTTTTTTTTTTTGCTTCTTGATTTGTTTTTCTTCACCTTCATTCTGTTTTATTTACTGTTTTCAACTTGACAAATCAAACTGTACAATGTATTGACCTTTTGTAAAAAGTAAATGATAACGAAACAACCAGTGGATGATGATGATTTCTTCAAGAATCTATGAATTCTGGGAACAATAAGTTGGTAGATAAACTCTGGTCATGTCCCGTAATCCGATTGAAGTTTATGTCAGGTTGAGTTTGCTTTATAATAGTTTTGCTGCTTAGTCCATGAATAACATCTTGAATTGATGAAGTGTAGTTGATTAATGGCGGGCTTTTTTTTTTTTTATAATTTTTTTTTCTTGTAGCAGGGAATACAAAAGGGCTCTCAGACAGCTATGAAGTATTATGAATTTCTCCAGCAATTATTTTTCTAGAGCATAAAAGAAACTAGAATATAGATGTAAGGGGAAATCAATTTGAGAAAACTTTATTGTAGCTAACATTCCTGCCTTGTTTGGATTCTTACATAATGCAGAAAACCGCGGCAATTCAAGGCGGCGAAACATAATTCTCAAGTTCCGTCTTCTGTTATGGACAGAGCGGAACAACTTCGAGCTAATCTTGATGCTAAGTACCCCAGCTTTGCAAAGTTAATGCGACGTTCGTATGTTGTACATGGGTTTTTGCTTGTAAGTTTACACTAGAGTAGTCTCAAAATATTTCAACAAAATACCATGCTGTTATTTATCCTTACATATTGAACTGCAGGCCTTTCCAACGGATTTCTGCAGAGAATACATGTCACAGCATGATGTTGTAGTTGTTTTGGAAAATGAGGCTGGCAAAGTATTTGATGTAAAGTTCCTTGGTCATAAAATGGTAATTAGTGGTGGCTGGAGAGGATTTTGTGCGAGCAACAAGCTGAGAGAGGGCGATGCAGCTGTTTTCCATATGATTGGTGCTACGAAATTCAAGGTAAATACATATTCGTAAAATGTGATTTTGATCGTCTTTGGAAGTTCTTTCTATTTTCTTTCATCTCAGCTTTTGTATCCCTGATGTGCAGGTCTACAGAGTTAGAGCAACTTCTTCAGGAGTTGCTGAAACCCCTGAACACTCACTTTCAAAGAAAAAGGGCAAAAAGCGCGGTAGAAACCATATCCTGTACTTCATTTTGTTTTAGATCATTTGGGTATCACCTTCCCTGCTGTTGACATTCCATTTCATATGTGATGTTAATTTTGAGCAGGAGGAGAAGTTAGGCAGAAAGAGTATGCAAGGCCATATGAAAAATCAGGTGGCCAGAGAGGACAATTTAGCAACGAAAATGATGCAAGGAAGTGTGGAAAAGCAACTGCATTTGTTGGTTTTCAAGACTTCAACATTGTGATCAATGGCTGCAGTGTGGACATAAACAAGCCTGATGTACTCTTCAAATACTACCAGCTCTGCAAAGCTCAGAATTCATATCTGCACTCCGGTTTCCTAGAGCCCATTAGTCCTGTATCGGCTGTCAGCATCATCTCAGATACAGTTCGAATTGCTGATGGCATCAGATCGAGTGACATTTCCACTCCCAAGAACACTTTCGCTCTTTGGGACAAGGTGTTGGAAGGGTTCGAAATACTAGGGCTTGAAGTTGGATTCTTACGCGCTCGCGTGCACAAACTCGCCAATCTGGCTAAGCAAGCAGAATACTCTCCACCTGCAAAGAAGCTGAAACAAGCCAGAGTTGAGTACAATCTGAAGGCAGAAGAGGTGGAGGCAACCACTTTCGAGTGGTATCTGAAAAGTGAAGAGTTGGATGCTCTGGATGCCAAAATCTGGGAAGCGAAACAGGAAGGAAAACAGCTTTATTGTGAGATGGAGAGCTTGAGTGGGAAGATCAAGAAGGTTGAGTCAAGGTTCCTGAAAGAAGCTAAATCTCCATGGTGAGCCAGAATAAATAAAGTTAGTAATAAGGTGGGAGTTTCTTAGGTGGACAAGTAAATTGCATTAGCGTGCTTTTGTTAGTGTCTTAATCAACTGATCATGTTTTGGTAAAAGGGTCGATTCTTTATCTCGATTCAGACTAGTTTGCCAGTCTGGTATCGGATGAAAATGATCGATCATGCTACTTAAATAAGGCTGTTTAGTGTTTATGATTATTAGGACTTTGTAGGGCTCCGGCTCTACTATCTTGCTAAGCAGAGATTGGGTTGCAATAGGCACAAAAATCTTGAGATAATTGTCCTAAAAATGCTGCTGATCTATTTATATTATTCGAACAACTATTGTTATGGTCTGATGAAATTATGTCTCTAAATCCTGAAGATTATTTTAATTTCGCTCCATCATTTTCTGCTATACTAGCTGTTGTCCACCCTGTCGTGCGGAAATTATAAAAGGGAGAAACAAAATATATACATGAACAAATAACAAAAAAAAATATACTCCTTCCGTCCAAAAAAAAAAAAGTCCACATTTTCTCTTGAAACTTGTTTTGTTTTTTAGTATAAATTTCAAAACTTAATGTGAACTATATTTTCGTTACTGAAAGAATAATAAAATATGGATGAAAATATTTTTTCAAGTAATAATTTTATAGAAGATTCAAATTAAAAAGTGTCAAGGTGACTTCAAAAAAGGAATGAACATCTATTTCAATTGGGGAATATTGGCAGATACATCCCAAAGTTTGTCGTCTACTAGCCTATCCATCCCAAACTTTTAAAATTGAGTAATTATATCCCAAGATCTTTAAAATTGAGCGTAACTGTCCCATGACCTGTTATTAACCTGGAGCAATAGGTAAAATTGAGTAATAGTTCGGTATTTACTTCTTTTATCACTTTTTTCTTTTTTATTTTTATATTTTTTTCTTTTTATATAGTGTTGTTAATTATGTCATTCCATTGTCTCTCCCAATATCGTTGCCATTATCAAACAAAGGACTCTGTTTCCAATTTGTTTGGAATATTTTTTTGATAGTTTTTTCATAATAGTTTATTAATGTCTAATTTCAGCATATCTTAGACATTTTCAACATAAATTTTTACAACCTCAATACAAAAAATATTTAAAAATATACATTAAAAAAGAACCCAAACGTAGTTAAAGGTTTCAATTTATGCCTGAAACGTGTGGAATCAAAATTCCCCACACATTATTTCGATATTAATTTTTTTAAAAAAAAAAGTTACAAAACTAATTGCTTCTTCATAATAAGGTCATAACCTGGTTTTGGAAAAATTTAAGAAGAAAATATTAAAAATTAAGAGAGAGAGAGAGAACCTATTTTCACATGTAGTACCAGGTCAATTTTGTGTTATTTCAGGTCATGAGACAGTGACACTTAGTTCTAAAAATCTTGCGATATAATTACTCAATTTTAAAAGTTTGGGATGGATTAGCTAGTAGATGGTAAATGTTGGGATGTATCAGCCAATATTCCCTAATTTTTATTGCTATTTTGGTTGTTATTCGTATTGTCGTCGTCAGCTCCTTTCTTTACCAGGTATCTATAATGCCCTCTTCAATTGTGGAGTCCCCACCGTCAATGGCGTCGGCGTCACCGACTCTCTTTGAGGGTTCTTTAACGGCATCTTCCATGGTGGAGTCGCTGCCGTCAACAGCGCAGCCGTGGTCTTCACCCGCGTCATCGACTCTCTTCGAGGTTTCTTTAATGCCGTCTTCCATGCAGTCGCCATCGTCACCCGCGTCATCATCCTCCGCGTCGCCACCATGTTATGGTGGTTCTCACACTTTCGTTTACCGCAATTTTCAGTCTACAACCTTCACAACTCAGAAAACTTCAAAGATTCGATTATTTACAAAGGTTTGAAAACGATTATTGTTCTGAGTGGCTTGTGGTTGCTTAAAATTTCTGGGATCAATTTGATTGGCAACCTGAGTTGTGCAACTGACGCAGCTCTGTAATCCTCCTTCTGTTCTCATACCATCGTTTCATGTCAACATCGGTATAAGCCAAATTCCGGCGAGTCTGTGAAACCTAGCCCTAGACCTCTCCATGGCATCTTCTCAAAATTCGTCTCTGCCTTCCGCCATCTTCTTGTCATTGGTTGTCTTGAAGTTGTAGCAACTTAGGGAAGATAAAGGATGAGCTATTGGGCTTTCAACATGTTGATCAATTACTGAATGATCTTGAAGTCAAGCTACAGGGTAATCGTATAGAATTGGGAGAAGCATGTATTGAATTGAATCTCTTAGTTGATGGATTCAACGCGCGGGGTCGTGTGGTGATTTTCTATGTCAATGGTCATGGAGAAGCAACATCTAAGTCGGAGGACTATCTCGCTATTAGTAGTCAGAAGGCCTGCCAACATTGCTCTCCTCAACCGCTTGACATGACAAATAGGAGGCTTCTGACCTTGTCATGCAGACTGTATGCAGTGCTTGTGGCTTAGACAACTGTGCAGGTGGTCATGTTAAAGCTTTGCATTTTGGAGCTGACGCAACAGTTGCACCAACATGTTATGCTTCCATAATGATTCTCAAATATATGAAGTAACACAATCTGGAATCTATGTCCTTCCCAGATTGTGATTCCAGTTCTAAAGAAGAGATTGATTGATAGCCAATTTCAACTCTTGGGTTTACTTGAAGACAGGTTTTTTTGCATAATCCAATTAAGTTTAAATATATCGTATTTGAAGAGAATTGGTGTTTTATCTAGACTTTTTCTGATTGAGGATTTATGCATTGTTTGTTTAATTTGTAGACTAAGTAGTACTTTTTTGGGATTAAAAAAACTAACGTAGCTCTGTATTGCTTTATATTGTCTCTCTTTCCCTATCCCGCTCTCTCCTTTCTTTTTCCTATTTTTTTTCTATGTCATCTCTCATCACAGATGATCCAATTACTATATATAAAGTTGCAATATCAATTCATCCCATATTCTAGGGTCAGCCGCTCTCAGCGTGACCAGAAAAATGGCATACGATGGAGATGGAAATAGTGACGAAGGTAAAAACTGTGATCACAAGTGCAATTTCGAAGATTTGCTTAGAAGGACTAGATAAATGGTCAATCAATTTAAGACCACCTTGCTGTCGGCATCGATGCATGAGATGAATGATAGATGTTAAATTTAATCCATTTTAGCAAGTAATTCTCATTCCTTTTTACATATAAATTAGTGTCAATTAAGTGACTTAGTTTACTTTTAGGTATATTTTGCATTTCAGGGTGATCAGAGGGCCAATGTAGAAATTACTGAAAATATTGGGCCAAAAGGTGGAAAAGAACAACAAAAAGGACCAGTTTTTAAAGTTATTGGAAATTGAGGATGAAAATGATCAATTAAGGAAGAAAGGAAGCTGAATCCATGCTGCTGAAAGAAGGTTGCTGCACTGCCATCACAAGTTGTTGATCCTTGCAAGCCGAAGCAGAGAAAGAGAAAGAAAATGGAGCTCAATTGAAGCCACTCTGCTGCTGCTGCTGATAAATAAAGAATAAAAGAAAGAAAAGAAGAGGCTGCATATTGATGGAAGAATTAATGCTGCCGCAGCTGATTTCAAGCAAGGAAGAAAAGTAGAAGAAAGACGGCCAAATTGGAGGCTATAGCTGAAGGAGAAGGAAGGACAAAAGAAGCAACAATCAACCAACCTCCATAAATAGGACAGCCAGCTACAGATGAAAAACAACAGAGAGGGGAATGTAGAACAGATCTAAGCAAAGTAGTTAGAGTAGGTATAAAACAGAAAGAAACAGAGTGTTGCAGTAGAAGGTGAATATTGTCACTCGGGGAAGCGAAGAGTTCACTTACCTAAGTCATCAGATAGAACCCCTGCTGCACAGTTCTTCTTGTTCTGTTTACTATCTTTTTTTTTAGTTTTGTTTTAATGAATACTCTGTATTCTGTTGATCTCATGTTTAATTCATAAGCATGAGTAGCTAAACTCTTACTAGGGTCTCATCAACGATGGAGCATCCTCTTTTTGGTTTGATAATTGGCTAGATACAAGGATTTTATGGGGTGAAACAACAACTCCTCCATGGCCAGAGCTAACAGTGAAGGATTTTTTTTGATTCTAAGTCTTTTTACATGCAGGTCTTAGAGGGATTACTCATTCCTCAAATTGTGAAAAAGTTGAGGGCAATGGAGTTTCTGTTCAATGAGGAGAAAGACAAACTTATGTGGAAACCAAATCCAATGGGGAAGTTTACTATCTCTTCGGCCTACTCAGAATCACCGGAAAAAAAGAGAAGAGCTTTCTATTTTGAAAAATATTTGGCACAAAGTTTTACCATTAAAAATCTCTTTTTTCATGTGGAAGCTTTTTAATCGTTTATTGCCCTTTCCTGAAATTTACAGAAAATGGGATTTCATGTGCGACCATCAAGATGCCCAATCTGCTGTGAAGAGGAAAAAGATATAGATCACATTTTCTTCCAATGTGTAAAGGTAAAACTGATTTGGATTTTCTTTGCCTCATCCTCAGACATTTCTTTTTCTAACTATGCAGGATGGAGGAGTAATATGCAAGCTTGGCATTCTTTGGGAAGTTATACCACGGCCAAGCGGACTATTCAAATGGTACTTCCAATATTTCTAATGTGGGAGCTCATATTTCGAACTTGATGAGTGTCCATAGGCTCCACGCAAAAACTTTGAAAGAAAAGCAATATCTAGAAAGGTTTTTTTACTACAAAAGTATTGTCTCCAAAGCACAAAGAAATATGGTCCTTGAGATGGCAATCACCACAACCAGGAGAGACAGTTTTAAACATGGATGGATCAACACTTGGATAACCTGGAGAAGCTGGATGGGGCTATGTGTTGCGAGGAGTAAGAGGAGTTTTCATACAAGCCGAATGCAAGTATATGGGGCAAGTGTTGAGTATAGAAGCAGATATTGAAGCCATTTTTAATGGCTTAAAAGCATGTGAATCAAGAAGAATATCAAGAGTGATTGTGCAAACTGATAGCAAGACTATGGTGCAATTTCTTCAAAGACATGATTCTTTTCTCTGGCGCTACAATTCAAGGCTCCAAATGATTAGAGACATATTAAATGTTTCAAATTCTAAGATAGTCCATATCTTTTGGGAGGTGAACAGTTTGGCAGATGCCTTAGCAAAACTATCTTCCAGAGAAGTAACTACCCAATACAATTCGCAAGAGGATCTCCCAATTTTGTTGCGTGGTAAGTAGTTCTTAAACAGAAAATAAAAAATACTTAACAAGCCTAGTTCTCTCATCTACTCTAAACCCTAGCCGCCAAACAAAGCCGGCGGCCACCATCTACGGCCTTATGGCCGGCAGCTCACCCCCGGTGGCTCCCTCTGAGCCGCCAAGATCTTTTGCAAGCTTTTTCCAAAAACCGTTTAATGTGGTGGATAATAAAGATTCGCTCATTAAGCCGATAAAATTTATTAATGATACTCCAACACTGGAATATGAAGAAGACGAGTTTGAGAGGTTGGTTGCACCGCACCGACTATGCTTGGTTGGAAAATTTTCATATGGCCGGCCAAAAATGGATGAAATCCATAAAGAGTTCAAGAAAATCGGATTCAATGGCGCATACACCCTGGGCCTCATGAATCCTAGGCATGTTCTAATCCGTTTTGAGCAGGAGGATGATTATCAGAGATGTTGGATAAGAACCTTTTGGAACATCGGAGGGTTTTCGGTGAGAATATTGAAGTGGACGCCGGGTTTTAGGTTTGAGGAAGATCCCCCGGTAGTTCCAATTTGGGTCTCCCTTTTCGACTTGCCAATTGAATATATGCACCCGGAGGTGATATACTCGATGGCTACAGCTCTGGGTCAACCATTGAAGGTGGACACTCCAACTTTGAATATGACGAGACCCTCGGTAGCTCGGTTTTGTGTTGGAGTTGATCTCACAAAGGAACTTGTCAAATCAGTCAAGATAGGGAAGAAGGGCCGAAAACATGAACAGTTTTTTACGTTTGAGCACGTCCCTTTCTACTGTCAAAAATGCTGCAAGATCGGACATAAGGAATCTGATTGCCGAATGGGGAAACCCTCACAAAAGAATCCCCTTGTGAGGCCAACCGAGAGTACTGAAGCAGGAGGGAAGAAGCAGGATTTGGAGGTGGAAATAGTGAACCTGAATCCGTTGATTGTGAAATCGAATGCGACGACATTGCAGTCAACGGAAACCATCACTCCGCAACTACCCGCGAAAACCCTAGCTCCGCAACTGCCACCGAAAACCCTAATGCCGCGCGAACCTGCTACGTCGTCTGGTCTTTCAGTCCATGATAAAGCCCTCATCCCGGTCGATTTACAGGAAAGTCCCGTGCCAAATGTCGGAAAAATCGTGACAGAAAAACTGACAACAACTACTACTGGATCGCTGAATTTGATTACAGTTGCGCAGCCGTCAAACCCTTTCAGTGTATTACGGAATTTAGGCAATGATGATACTGCAATGATAGAGGATTCAGAGGAAGAGGAGGTTGTATTCGCAGAGGAGATAACAGCCCCTAACCAGTAACAATTACAAGATGATTTGCAGCACATGTCACTGGTTCCGAAACCGATGGGAGAAATGTTGTGCGAAGACTCTGTCACTGGAACAGTTAGTGAAGACGATGAAGAAGAATCAGCGGCGGAAGAGTTCAGCTGGTCCAAGGGGGAAAGAGATGGTGCTCATGTGGAACGGTCGGAAACTGGTGAGATCATTGCAGTTAAAAGGAAAAGGGGAAGGAAGTCCAAGGCGGAAAGAGCCAAATTAAACAAGGGTGTGGAGCTTCGGCGCTCTGCCCGCTTGCTTTGAATAACACCCATATCTTATTCAATAAAACATTGATGATTAGTTACATCATTTGGAATATTCGTGGAGTTAGGAAGGAGGTGTCGTTGCGACGCTTGACATCTTTGATTGACATTTATAAAGTCTCTTTTCTTGTACTTTTGGAGCCTATGCTTCCAAGTAATGAACTAGAAGTAATAAGGAGGCAGCTCCGCTTTGACTATGATTTTTCTTCCTCGTCAAGGAAGATTTGGGTTCTATGTAAAAAAGGTATTCGGATGACACTGCTTGGAGGATCGGAGCAGGCTTTGCACCTGGAAATAGAACATCAATCCTTGAATCTAGTAACTCTGGTTTCCGCTGTGTATGCAAAATCAACTAGGGTTGCTAGAAGGGAGTTATGGACTGAGCTACAAGGTTTCCGGCATCACCATCCCGATTCTCTTTGGTTAGTTGGGGGAGATTTTAACATCATTCATTCGCTTGATGAGTATTCCGGAGTTTCAGTTCAGGATCAAGAAGCCATCGATGAATTTAATAGCTTTATTGAAGCCTCATCACTAACGGAATTGCTTGCTGTGGGGGAGGACTTCACATGGGGAGGTACAAGGTGGACGGGCTGGGTAAGCAAAAAATTAGATCGAATCCTGTTCTCCCAAGAATGGCTGAACCATTTTCCAATAGCCTCGGTGGAAAACCTAAACCGGACTTCCTCTGATCACTGCCCTATGTTGCTTCAATTTAAACCCTCAACGGACCAGCAGCCGAAAAGCTTTCGGTTTCAGAATATGTGGCTAAGAAGGGCTGACTTCTTGGATGTGGTAGAGGAGAACTGGAAGGCGCCTATTGATTGTTTTGGCATGTTGCGGTTTTCCTTGAAATTACGCCGGTTGAAGCTTAAACTAAAGGAGTGGAATAAAACGGTTTTTGGTAACGTTTTTGATAACTTAAAGGTGGCTGAAAAGAAGGTTCAAGAGTTGGAAATGAGATTTGATGCCACCCGATCCGAGGAAGACAGAACTCATCTCCATTTAGCTCGTGCTGAATTGTTATTAAAACTCAAAGAGCGTGAGGACTTTTGGAAGCAGAAAATAAGACTAAAATGGTGTAAGGAAGGGGATTGCAACTCATCTTTCTTTCATGCTACTTTTACTGAGAAAAAAGCTAAGATGAATGTGCATAAAATTCAGAATGATGCTGGGGATTGGCTCACTGAAAAACAAGATATTGAAGCCCAAGCCACAAAATTTTTTGCGGATCTTCTAAGGGAGGAAAATGTAGTACCGCGGATTGATATTCAGGAAAGGTTTTTACAGCACATCCCTTTGATTCTTGGGCAAGAAGATCATCATTTACTCTTGGGTGAGATAACCTTGAATGAAGTTAAGCATGCTGTGGAAAGTCTTGATGCCAACAGCGCGCCAGGAGCGGATGGGTTTGGAGGCTCATTTTATAGGGCTTGCTGGAATATTATAGGATCGGACCTCCTAAACGCCTGTAAAGAATTCATGATAGGAGTTCCTCTCCCAAGAGCGATTGGGAGTACTCTTGTTACTTTAATCCCAAAGAAGACCTCTATCACAACCTTTTCGGACTTTAGGCCGATAAGCTTGTGTAATTTCATCAATAAGATTTTTACGAAGATTCTCACGGAAAGGTTGAAGAAGGTGCTGCCTAAATTAATCTTTGAGGAGCAATCGGCCTTTTTGGCGGGTCGCGACATCAATGACAATATCATGCTTACTCAAGATTTGTGCCAGTTCCTTAAACACAAAGCCGTGGGTAATAACGTGGTCCTAAAGGTGGATATGATGAAAGCTTTTGATCGCGTTTCTTGGAGTTTTCTAGCAGCAGTGTTGTTGAGGTTTGGCTTTCCTTCTCATTTTGTTTCTCTGGTTTTAAATAACCTTAAAAATGGTTGGTTTTCGGTTTTGGTGAATGGCAATCCGACAGGTTTCTTTAAGGCAAGTAGAGGGATCAAGCAGGGTGATCCTCTTTCCCCCTTTTTGTTTATCCTTGTCTCTGAAGCGATGTCACGAAGGTGGAAATGGTTGATGGAACAAAGAAGAATTGTTTGTTTTGGTACTCCAACTGGCTCCACCTATGTCTCCCACCTTTGTTTTGCTGATGATCTCATTGTGTTCACTCGTGGTTTGCAAACGTCTCTGAAGGTATTGAACAACTTCTTTGAGGATTATGAAATGGCGTCTGGCCAAAAGGTGAATAGAGAGAAAAGTAATTTTTATGTGGATGAAGGATGTAGTTACTCCTGGATTGCAACAATTACTCGGTGCCTAGGCATACAAAAAGGATCCTTTCCTTTTGTCTATCTTGGATGTAGGATATTTGTAGGGAGAAAAAAGGCTGCAATCTTTCAATTTATATTTGATGCATTGGAAGTGAAGTTATCGAATTGGAAGAATAAATTCCTTAGTCAAGGTGAGAGGCTTGTTGCTAATTAAACATGTGCTGTCCGCCATCCCAATACATGTTTTTGCGGCCATTGAGCCTCCGAAATCAATCTTGAATGCCATTGCTCACCGATGCCAACGGTTCTATGGGAAGGAGTGGAAGGTGATGGAAAAAAACACTGGAGATCCTGGAACCGGCTTACCTACCCAGTGCTGGAAAATGGTGTTGGATTGCGCAATTTTCAAGAGGTTTTGCAAGCCTTTTCCCTTAAAATATGGTGGAAGGTTAAACATAAGCAAGGCATTTGGGCAAATTTCGTGCTCTCTTCATCGCATTTTGCGAGGAAAAGAACTTCTTGGAGCCGGTTTACCAAAATTGATCATCTTGCATCATCTTTTTCAAAGGTGTTGGTGCATAAGGGAAATAGTAGCTTCTGGTTTGATCAATGGTCAAGTTTGGGCCGTATATGGGACATCCAGGATACGGAACCTCCAATGCCAAATCTTACAATCCGGGAGTTTTTCTCAATGGAAAATCTTTACTTACAAGAGATTCGGGGATGATTGGAGGATAGAGCTTTTCATGTCTTGGAGGAAATGGATTTATCCTTCAATGAGGGGGAAGACAAGCTCATCTGGAAGCCGACCCCATTGGGAGTATTCACAATCAAGTCCGAATATGAAGCATTGCGGAGGAGGCAAGCTGAAAACCCTAGCCTGCGGAATGTATGGCATAAATTCATTCCTTTGCGCATCTCCTTCTTCATGTGGAAGTTTGGTAATTCACTTCTCCCTTTTACGGAGAATCTATGTAGAATGGGCATATACTTGCAACCATCAATTTGCTGGAAGTGTAAGTCTTCCTCGGATTCAATGAGGCATCAATTTCTTGAGTGTGCTTTTGCGCGACAGGTCTGGAATTTTTTTCTGAACTTTTTGGTCAGGTTGCACATGGTTCAAGCCTTGGAGAATATTTGAATTCATGGTGGATTTCAGGGAACTTTAAAACAGCTATTGGGGTCATAAAGAATGTTCTGCCATCCTTTATAGTGTGGGAGCTATGGAAGGTGAGGAACAAGTTCTTTTTTGAAAATGTTGACTCCACTTTTTCAGGTGTCGTCAAAGCTGTCAAAGAGCATCTTCATGGAATGATGCTAGTCCATAGACTTAAGGCTCGAAATGTTGTAGAGAGGGAGTCGCTTCAGCTAATCTTTCCGAACACACCTTTCTGCCTAAAACAAAAAAAGGTGCGCAAGGTTTCTTGGCAACAACAGCGCAAGCATGTGCTGAACACTGATGGATCTTCCAACTCCCAAGCTGCTGGGTATGGCTTTGTAATCCGAGGTGAGAAGGGGTTTTTTCTTTATGGGGAAGCTGGATTTTTGGGAAGTGGAGATAGTCTTCAAGCGGAGGTTTATGGCCTTTTATTTGGAGTTCGGAAATGTGAGCATCTTGACCTGTTCCAGGTGGAAGTTCAAACGGATAACCAATTTTTGGCAAATATTCTTGCCACTGGAGGTCCTTGTCCGTGGAGATTCTATTTCGAGTTGCGAGAGATTCGAGCAATTCTTGAGAGAAGGGATTACTCTATACACCATATTTACAGAGAAGCGAATGCAGTAGCAGATAGTTTAGCTAGATGTGCTTCAGATGAAGTTTCAGCAGAATTTTTTTCCTTAGGAGATCTTCCGAATTTCACTAGGGGTCTCATCACTCTAGATCAACAATCTATGCCGTATGTGAGAGTGCGGTAATATTTCAGATGTAATAGTGAGATAATATTTTTTGTATCCTGGTAAGTTCTATGCACTGCCAGCTTTGACCAATGAATCTTAATAATATACAGGGTAAGGAGGGAACTAAGGAACTGGATGATATATTTGTTCATCCCTTGGGTACATCCCTTGGGTGCATTTATATCATCTGGCTATAACTGACTTCAAAATCCATCTCTTGGGTAGACCCCTTGAGTGTTTTTGAGCCAGTTAGAACCTGAATCCCCTTCGGAACCTTCTTTTCTGGCTGAAAAAAAAGAAGACAAATGTTCTTTTCCATATTTACGGATCAAATAGATTTTAAATGTAATGTATTAGAATAATAGTATAGGCTAGATTATGAAAAAATAGAGGAGTCATGGAGTTAATGTTCAAACCTTTGTAAGACTACCTCTTGGCTAAGGTAATTACTCACAGAGATGCCATAGGATTTTAACAGAATCTTTGTAAGACTTTCTCTTAAACTTCAACCAAGGGCTGTCAAGAGACTTTAGAAAATCTATGTAAGACAGACTCTTTTCTTTTGGGTAAGTCTCAAACATTGCCTGTGTAACTTTTTTCCTACAAATTAATAAAATTGGGGAGATGCCCTTCAGGTACCGCCCTGGTTCTCTTAAAAAAAAAAAAAACTCTTACTAGGGTCTAATCCCTACTATCTATATGTGAATGTTTTGATTCAAGTTCTTATATGAAGCATTGTTTCTAGTTTTAGTGTTTTAATTAACCTTTTAGTTAAATTGACCTCTTAGCTAATTGTGCTTACATATTATGGAACCCCGAGAGGTGAACATAATTTAGAACTGCTTAAACTAGTCCATTACAACGGGGATAAGAACCCTAGGTTTCAATAGGCAATGAGAGTTAGTTGATTGGCATAGTTGATCATTAGGGCTTAAGCTCTTAATGGCTCAGTGTAATGGAAATTAACATAGAGAAATAGTTGGTTTGATTATGTTGAGACTCTTTGTTGGTATCGAAAATGAACGTAGGGAATATTGGTGCATGATCAGACAATGCTCATATTTGCAAAAAAAAAAAAAATATAAAAATCATAACATGACCATATAGATAGGAAGGAGGATGGTCCTAGTTCTCTGCCACTCCGCGAAGTAACGTTCTCACTTTTCCAAGTGACATTCTGTTCGGTTTCAGTTTCACACTTGCACTTTAATCAGATTTTCATTGATTTTTTGTCCGTCCCTGTGGATCGAATTGGGAATATCAATCAAATTTCCTTTAGCACATACCTGAAATTTGGAATGTCAATCAATTTTAACAAAAAATATTATATCTTTAAGATATCGACGTTTGATGTATGCTTACCATAATTTTTTTTAAATGAAAATCATTTAATAGGTATTTGATTCATTATGAGATCTTTACATGTGATATTAAATATTAAAATATCTAGACGTGTTTTTTTACCTCTCCCATTTTATAGCACCCATTCAATGCGCAAGGCACCTAGTAGTAAATGTAATAATTTCTTTCGAACTAGATTTTATTTCCTTGTACGTTTTGTTGAAAGATTATCGTAGGATTTTTAGAAAACCTTTATAAGATAATTTCTTCCTTCGGATTGATGTTAAGCACTACGATAGACAATTTTAATTTTTTAAATTGATAAAATAAAAAATAAAAAATTACTTCAAAAGTACCAAAAAATTACTTTTATATTCATTCAAAACTATAAGTTTAAGATGATAGTATATGGCACCAGTCAAGATGATAATCAGCAGCAATATGGAGCTTTTCTGTATGATCATCTTTCTGATAATGTTGTAGAATTCTTGGTCGAGATGGATGTGAATTTCAGTCAAGATGAAGACATCCTAATTTGGCAACCAACATCAAATAGAGCTTTTTTTACCGTTAAGCCGGCATACAAAATTTTGAGGGAAAAGCAAATGGAATATCCGCTGTTGGTGAAGGTCTCTGGGCCAATGTTCAATCCTGGCAGGCAACTACGGCTTTCAAGAGAGTCTTGGCAGTTGTAACTTGCTTCATTTTATGAGCATTGTGGAAGTCACAGAACGAATGGCTTCATCGTGGAATTTTCAATTACGCAGCTAGAGTTATACAAGCTGTAGATGAGCATATAATCTCTATGCTGAGAGTTCGAAATCTCAAATCATCTTCTCTGATGGAGTCGGCTAAGCTGAAGGAGATGTTTGGATTCAACGACAAGCTAAAGCATAATCGTGAAATAAAAAGATCAGTTAGGAATCCCCTGATCGGGATTGCCATATCCTAAACATGGATGGGTCAGCGAAAAGGGCCCTAGGGAATTCGAGATTTGCTTTTGTAATATGAGGTGTGGAGGAAGTTTTATGTGTACATAAACCTAATTCTTGAATAATGGTTTTAGTCTACTGGCCAAAATACAGGGAGTTTTCCATGGGGCGAGAAACTGTGATGATTTTGGACTCCAGAAGGTTACAGTTTAGACTGATAGCAAATTAGTAGCTGACATGGTTTTAAAGGGTGAGAATTTTCCTTGGCGACATTGACTTGACTTGCTGGAAATTCAATCTATTGTAGGTGGAGAAGGTATCTAATCACTCATATCTACAAAGAAGCTAACTCCGTTATGGATGATTTATCCAAGTTAGCCTCTTTTGGTGTCTCTACGTCTTTTACCCATTTTAATTCATTACCAAATAAGGTTAGGGGGCTTTTGATCCTAGATCAACGGTCCTTCCCCTACATTAGGAGAAGATAAATACTAGCTCAATTTCACATATTTTACTCTTCTCTTGTACTATACCTTGGGTTAGTCTTAAGTATTACCCTTGATCTTTTTATTAATGCAGTAAAATTGGAGAGCTACCAACTTAGAGGATAGACCGACTACACTATTCATCTTAGAGGTACACCTTCTTTGTGTATTCTATCGTTCTAACTTTTAAGTTCGTCTGCTCCTGTTTTTCTTGTTAGAAAAAAAAATATGCCACCAGAAACTTAAATATTGTTTCTATTCACTTTTTGTTAGGGTTTTGTAAAACAAAAAATAAATAAATAAAGATCAACATTTTTTACACGTAAGATGCACATGAATTATTGATCAAAGGGCATTATGTCTCCATGTAAAAACTTGACTCGAGTCTTCCCTAAAACGTAACTTAGTTGTGACTTTACAAATATTTAATAATACAAATTTCAATAAACATATGCTTGCATCAGAGATATGCAATAAGAGTTTCAAACTAACATGTTAAAATGTGATTATGAAAGATTTGCATATTCAACACAAACCATTGCGACAATATAAGTTAACTAAGCATAGCATATAATTTAACGACATACCACAACTTCATTAGTGTTAATATCTTAGAATGTTATGTTTAGCTAAAACATTAATTTTACTAACTCACTGAATGAAATCAATAGTTCTACATATATATTGATAATATAAATCATACCCTAAGTGCTAACATATTCTCAAAGGGTTGGTTCATCTTGTCTATGAAATTGAGTACATATAAGATTAGTAGTTGCAAGTTCATTTTATAAAAAAGGCACTTAGCACAATGACAGAAAGATCGTAGATCCACCATGAATGTTGACAATGTCACTAGCTCGTGGGAGGATGTAAAGAACCAAGTCTTTTAGAGGAGAAATTATTTTTTAATGAGTATTATGACAACTTAGTTGATAAATTAACTTTTCTTTAAGATGAAATAAGATCTGAAAGTGATGAAAGAAGCATACTCAAGTAGAGAAAATCAATTTATTTATAGTCTGTAAGCTATAAGTAAATAAGGATAGAACATGCACATGCTAAAACTTGTGTGAAGCATATGAACCATACACAATCATATTTTAATCTCTTAATTAATTAAGAAATCTCAAAGTCAAAAGTTTGCATTAAAACTAGCAAAACGTTAGTTGCATTACCCTTTTATTAAGATAGCGTCACAATCGATTATTAACTCCAAACTTGTCTGCCCAAGAGTCCAAATTGGTCTGCCACCACGATCGTTCCTCTCATTAAACAGTGCAAAGAGTCTACCACCACAATCTGATAAACAAGAAATAAAATTCTCACTTTTATTGAAAGTAATGATATTAAATAAGATACTTATAAGTTGCCAAAGACAACTAGATACTTAAGGCTAATAGCTTTAAAGACAATGTCCTATCAAATGCAAAACTAAATATTGTAGGCTGAAAATTTTGAATGAATATCAATAAATCAAATGTATCAGGGTTAGATATTGCATGACCTAGCCAAGCTCTCGTTCCATAGGGATCACTACTAATACAAGGAATACGATATCAATTATAAGGTGAAACATAACATCATCCGATCACAAAGATGAAAACAAGCACCACAACTCACTAATAAGCCTTTCAACTAAATAAACCAAAGAGAGAATGCAACCAACATCAACGTCTGTGTAATATTATTCAAATTCAAATATAAGTATAACTTTATCTAATAGTTTCAATAGTATTTCACTCAGAGTAAAATAATATTAATATAATTCTCTTTTTAAAATATACACAAATGATTGTGTCTGTAAGAGTTAGAAAATATTTTTGAAATGAAGAAAAATCTCACACTATGATGAATTGAACCTAAGTTGGCTAATCAAATGATTTCTACCTGTCATGCATCAATTTACAACTAAATGTACTAGAAAAGGAAAGTAACATGTGATTGTTTCTTTCACGAGAGGATGAAAATTTAGGCCAAACTCCCTCCATTTGGCCTACTTTTTAATTGATTATCCCCCTTAAATAGTTAAAAAATTTGATTTAATCCAATTTTTTTCCTAAAATTTACTAGCAGTAACAAACCGACTCGTAAAGTTTTACAAGATTGACCACTTGCTAAAACTTTTACCGGATCATTTTATCCCTGTGAGTGAAGGGATGATTATTTTTAAATTATTTTTTGATACTTTTGATTAGAATTACCAAAAAAAGAAAACAAAAACAAAATAAAACTCTTGAGAGTGTAATGAGATCAATAT